AAAGCTGTTTGGTTAAACCTTGTAAATAAAGAATGTTATTCACGACCTCATACGATATCGTGCGGCCTTGCATAATGTGTTTGTATTTACAGCAAGTTGTGAGTCACGATGCTAAGCTACTGCCACATCCAGTTTGATCTAATCATTACTAAAATAGACAGAGTTAGAATCATGTTTGTGGTAAGTGGACTGTACTTATATATCGCCCTTGTTGCTTATCAGTCCCAGCAGTTCTTCCTCTGATTTTATCCTCAAATGGTGTCGCTATTGAGTTTGTTGATTCCTATAAATATCTGGGTATCTTGGTCGACTCACATCTTTCTGTTAAGCTCCATGTGGAAAACTTGATAAAGAAACTGAAAGTTAAACTGGGTTTCTTTTTCAGAAACAGATCCTGTCTAACCCTGAATGTTAGCAAACACCTTGTATCTGTGACTTTCCTTCCCTCCATTGACTACAGTGACATTATTTACATGAACGCTCCTACAAGAACCCTGCAGATGTTGGATGCTGTCTATCATGGTGCACTAAGATTCATAACTGGCTGTGATTATCGTACCCACCACTGCACCCTGTATTCACTGGTTAACTGGACATCATTAACTTCACGCAGACTTTATCACTGGAACATTTTCATCTTTAAATCACTTCTTGGTCTGCTGCCTTCATACATCTCCTCCTAGATGTCTCTGTGTGAGTGCAGCTACAGCGTGCGCTCTCAGGACATTATTACCTGCAGTGTTCCCTCAGTGAGGACTGAACTAGGCAAAAGGACCTTCTCCTACTCCGCTCCTGTTTCCTGGAATATCTTGCAAAAAGATCTGAAGCTCTCGACCTTGACCTCTCTAAGTGACTTTAAGAATCTGTTAAGTTCCTGACAAAAACCAACGCAGACATGTTCCTGTTTTTAGTTTTCTACATCGCCTTACAACCTAGCGTTTTTTTTTTTGTTCCTTTTCCTTTTAAATACCATTTTATTTTCACTTGTTAAAAAAAATATCTCAATTTGTACGCATCCTTTATGATTGTCTGTTATTGTTTTTGTTGTCCACTGTTGTCATCACTCTGTTAAAATCAGGTCTCTCTTGTAAATGAGTTCTCGAGGCTCAATGGGACTAACCTGTAGAAATAAAAGTGGAATGAAAAAAATATATCAAGATGCTCAAAGCGCTTTAAAACACATTCTGTGCCCTCATTTACCCTTTCATACAGCACTCTACTATATTAAAGATTAATCAGAGCTTTATCACATTCATACACTGATGGGACACATCAGAGGCAATGAGGGGTTCAGTGTGTTGCCCAGGGACACTTCAGCATGTGACTGCTGGTGGAATTGAACCCCCGACTCTTGCATTGGAGGACAACTGCTCTAACCACTCAGCTACAGCCGTCCCTTTGGTAGCTAAAGTCAATTAGCTGTGATGTAGTTTATGAGATCGTTTGCCAATAGGCTTGGCTCCCAACAGTTATTGCCGAAGTGTTAGGCAAAGATGCTGTGTAATATAATACATAGTGCTCAGAGTATGTGTTTGGGATGACTCTCAGCTACTACATGCCAAGTTTTGGATCATCATCTGTAAAATTGACTGTTTGAGCCATTTTATGGGTTTTAGGTTAAGGTGGCGGCAATCTTTGAATTGGCTAGACTCCAAAGGTTGGTTGTAGATGCACATCCAGGAATTAGTTTCTGAAAGTTTCATTCCAATTCAAGTTCATGAGATATTTTGCTAACAGTAAGTTGGGCACCTGGTGTGCTCTGTTTGCACGTGTTACTTCTGAGATTCCAACAGGAGGTTGTTTTGAAACACAGCAGTGAAGGCTACCTATGGGGCAGATTTGGTTGGCAGGCCGTACACTGAGGAAGTCCTCTGGATGGGAGACGAAACATTTCTCACTTAAAGAAACTGGTCCAGATGACATGCTTTAACCTTTTTTGTTGTCATCTACCTGGATGATTGAGTTTACAAACCTTTAGCTAACAGTGTTGACTCCAACATTACTGGTAAAATCCTGAACAGTAATCGTGCCATCAGTTATCGCTCAGAGTATGTGAAGTGCATCACTCTCAGATACTACCACACGCCATTTTTTTTAGCTAAACATTACTAAATTTGTCTGTTACAGCCGAAATGATAGGGTTGCTTAGCTGTGGCAGCCATCTTGAATTAGGTTGACTCTTTGAGTTAATCCAGTGATTACTGAGAGTTTTTATCAAAATCATTGATTAGTGGAATATTTTGCTAACACATAGACACACACACACACAAAAAAATTAATTATAGCTTTCCTTATTGGTGAAATAAATGGGTCAGTAGTGAATTTAAAAAAATTACATCAATTAAAAAAATGTTGCTTTAAAGGTTAAAAGTAAAAAGAGTTTTTAAAAGTCGTTGCTTACTTTGCTTGCTTGCTGAGGAGAGTGACGTTAACGTTTCCAAGAACCAGACTGAGATAGACGCTGCAACAAAAAGAAGCGTTCTTAATGGAGTTGCAACCAGCTGAGTCATGTTTGTGTTCTTTAGCCTGAATTAGACGTCGTCACCCATTTTTCTTGGGAAGAAACGCTTCCATTTCAGAGAAGACATGCTCTCTTGTCTTGATCTTCTCCTTTAACCCCTCCAGCGTCGTCAGCGCTTCTCCAGACGATTTTTTGCTGTGCCTGATAAATCATGCACAAAGAACCGAGATGCTGACAATAAATCTAAGACTGACTGATTTAACGTTTGTGCTGTTGTTTTATTCTCTCTCTCTCCAGATACAGTTCTGGCCTTTTGTGCTGCATTAACCTGCACATTCACAAAAGATTCAGGGTGTGTGCACGGCAAACACACGTACTTCTTCACAAGGCGGGACGTCTCCTTCAGTTTTTTACGCTGACGGGAAATGGATGATGTGCAGTTGTTCTGGAGGTGAGAGATTTCATCCAGTTTTTGTAAATACATTCGATGTGTTTCCTGTAGAAAATATTAACGGTTTGGATCAATAAGAGGCACACTCACAAGTAAAAGTCCATTTTTAAATTTTTTTTTTTACATTTTCAGGTGCGGAAATATAGCACGCAACTTGTAAACAAGCATATGACAGTTTTACATGTTGGCTATTATATTTAAATTTGTATGAATGGATTAAACACAGTGTTTACTAGAAGCTATAAATGATCAGTAATTTCTTACCTGAAGTTTGTGATTCTCATCCTCCAGACACTTCCACTCCTCAAGAATTCCTGTTAAAACCTGAGTCATTTTGGAGTCTCGGACATTCAGTCCAGACCTGCTTGAGCAAATAGCAGCACCGTTTAATTCTTTATGCTGCAGAATAAAACACAGAACTGCTGAGGTATCATCCAGGCGTGCATCATATCTCTGGTTTCAGAATCAGAATAAACTTTATTGTCATTGCACTGAGATACAACGAGAACATGTACGTACAGTCGTCCGAAAGATGGGCGGAGTGCACGAAGCTGCAACTATAAACATTTATTACATGAACTGAACTTTGACTGGTGCTATCGCTCTGAAGCTGATTCAGATTATTGTGGGCTACATCGTGCATGACGTAAAGACGGGAGGTCGGAATTTCTACCTTTGCCAGGTTCACCATGTTGCTGTCAATCCTGACTGTAATGTTTGCTCTCAGCTGCACATAAGCATCATCTGCTGGACAGACCTGAGGCTTTACCTAGAATCCAGAGGCTTTATTTCTCAAAGATAGCTCTGCTTGCATCATCACATTTATCATGTGAGAGCAGTTAGTCTAATCCATTACATCAAATGTTATCTCGACATCTGTTAATTTGACTAGGGTATGGTCATTTTTGTGTTGGGTAATGTTGAGCAGCTGTGACATTTAGCTTCCATTGGGTTGACTCTGAAAGTGAAACAGCTGTAGATGTACATTAGATGGCTACTTTCTGAAAGTTTCATTAATATCTGTCCAGTGGTTAATGACATATTCTGCTGACAGGCAAGACAGAATTGACTCCAAATAGTTATTATCAAAGTTTCAAACAAAGATTTTATTCAATCTGTCAGTGTTCAGAGTACTGGGAATCAGTCTCACACCTTGCCAGAATTTAGGACAGCATCTGTAAACTTGACTGAGTTACAGCCGTTTGTGCATTGCTGAAGGTCGGTGGTGGCCCTAACCTTTCTGGGTGAGGTTTGCATGTTCTCTCCGTGCATGAGTGGGTTTCCTCCCACAGACCAAAAACACACGTTAGGCTGATTGGTGACTCTAAATTGTCCCTATGGTGAGAGAGTGAATGGTTATTTGTCTCATTTGTCTCTATGTGTCCCTGTGATGGACTGGACACCTGTCCAGGGTGTCCCCCACCTCTCGCACAGTGATAGTTGGATATGGGCACCAGTGACCCCAATGACCCTAAAGGGAAGAAGTGAGTAAAAGATAATGTACTTTGTTATACTTATGTTTGTTCTACTTCAGTCTCATGTCCCTTTTGAGCTGACTGTACTGTGTCTTTATGAAACTACTAAAGGAATTTGGGGCCAAGTTCAGAATCCTTCATGCCAAACATCTCTGATAGTGACTGAGCACTGTTAAGCTAAATTAATACAATTCAATAATTTGTATAGCACATAACCAAATAATATATGAAAATAATGGAATATTTTAGGCAATGTTCCAGCTCTACAATCTTATTGTAATAGGTAGTATTGTGTTATAAAATAGAGAATTTACCGGTTTGTTTTTTAACAAGAATTTAACAGCTTTTATTCTGAAAAGTATTTTCAGCGGAAGTGTTGATTGCGCTAACAGAGATGTGCGCATGCGCGTCCAGCTGTCAGCAGCGGGTTCGAGCTCCAGCTGTGTCTGTGAGCTCAGTGCATATGCAGACCAGCGGTTCATCAGGTTTCCTCTGCTCCTGAAAACCAGCAACGAGGTGAACATTTCGAACCAAGAACAACCCAAACGATTAATGACAAAGGTAAGACTCCATTTCACGTGTTTGACCCTCACTTCCGCTAACATTACTGTCAGTAAAACAAGCTAGTGGCAAAGTCATTATGTTGTTTATGAGCAGGTAAAGTAGGTTTGTATGTGTTATCTGGATTTACGTGTTAACTGTAATTTGTTTTTTCAACGCTGGAAACAGGGTAGCTCCGTTGTTTGTTTGTTTTTTGTTGTTGTTGTTTTTAATAGTAAAATCAGATATGCTTTTTTTCCACAGGGACATGACGATAAACATGAAATTATTAAATACATTTGGGCACATTACATTTTTCGAGTTGAAATGTGATTTTTGCTTTATGCTTCTTGTAATTCCAGCCTTTTTCCCTGTAAACGATCACAAATAGTCTGTGTCTAACTATGAAATCTGTGAATTACGCGTGTGCTTGAACGCACCACTCATAGTAATTAAAGCCTCAGGCTATTTATTAAGTGATGACTAAATAAGTGTCCATATCTCACATAATACCTAAAAAAATTGTTTAAACAAAAGTGGGTTTAAATTATTTTAAATCAGTATTGTTGAGTAAATAAGATTTTATTGTTTCTTAATCAAGGACATACTTGTCATATTCATCAGTAGGATGAATTATTGTATATTGAGATTTTAGCTAGTGGGAAAACAAAATGAGCCGGACTGAGACCTCAGTTTAGTTCCTACTCGTTAAATATGTATTTGTAATGATGAATCAATTGACAACTTCTCAATAACAGCTTGAACGTCACTATTTCTGAACTCGTCCTTCAAGTGAACATTTACCTCCTCTGATAAAAACCAGAGCAGCGTTGAAGTTTGTCTGTTTTCCAGCAGACTGGTGAAAAATGTGCGCTGCCGTCTATGTCCTGTCTTCGGTAACGGGCTACGTGCTCACCTCTGCCCTGCTGCTGAAATGTCCCAGTCTTCTGCACCGGAAGAAGCGAGAGATGTTCCTCAGCAGGCACATATCCCACCGTGGCGGTGAGTCACAGCTGAACGTCTTGGGCGTTATACAAAACCAGAACAGCATTTAAAAAGTATTTTTCTTGTAGGCAACAGGAGCTGGATCGGAACACAAAGTTGCGTACTATAATAAATTTGTCTGGCACGTTGTAAACTTGACATGCTAGTTGTGGTGCCTTCAGAAACCATAATCTGATTTAGCTTAGCCTAGAAGGCTGCTGCTTTTCGAGCCATCAGTAGGTTCCACATATAAAGGAAAACACCGTGCCAGTACTAAATGTGTATTCTTATTGCAGGGGCAGGAGAAAACCTGGAGAACACCATGGCAGCTTTCAGACAGTGAGTAGGACGCTCTTTCTCGAAGGTTCCTTCGCGGCTCCTGATTGTCCTTGTGATTGTGGGCAGCGTGTGTCATCTGAGCTGTCAGCTTTGTCTTGCTGCTGTAACATAATCACACAGAAACCACGGCTGAGGTCAACCCTGTGTGATGTTTCTCTTTCGTCTTTTGTCATTTCGACTGGTGATGAACTGTTTTCTTTTTATTCAGTGGGTCGTGTTTCATACGGAAG